GGCCGAATGTTCTAGCCAGAGCTCGGCCGAGTTATTGGATTGGATCCTGTATTCCCCCAGCCGTTGCGGACACGTGGGGGCGAGAGAAAACGAAACGGAGTGATCTCGTCGGGCAAGTCTCTTGGGCCGTCTTGGGGCCCTCTTCGGGCTGTCTCGTGGCCCTCTGCGGCCGTCATATCGTGGATGCCTGTTGGGCGATCTTGGGGCTATTTTTGGCCGTCATGGTCCCAGGGAAGGCCGAGAATAATAAAAAACATAAGCACCTACGATAAACTTATGATTCTGGCCTATTCGGCCATCCTGGAGATCCGCATGGAGGTCTCTTGTGCTGCTTTGGAGGTTCCCTCGGAGGCCAGGGCCATCATGGGCTTATCTGGGTCCGCCTTGGCTGGATCTCGGGCCGTCTTGGATACATCTTGAGGCCATCTTGGGGTTCTCGTGGGGCCATCGTAGCCGTCTTTGTGACCATCTTTACCTCCTTGGAAGCCATCTCGGGGCCGTCTTGAGCGGGAAGACCGGCGGCCCAGGAAGTTTCTGGGTCTCTTCGGGCTGTTCGTGCATTAGGCCGAAGACGCACTGGGATCTTTCGATTACGAAGGACCAATGACAGTCTAAAATCTGGCCGCCGTGCACGCCTGTGGCAAGTCACAGGGGGCGGTGAATGACGGAAAGCGCGCGTTAACGTGCAATCCGTTAATCAAAAAACTTAGACTTGGGGGAGTTCGAGGGGGGTGGCATCGCCAGGCCCGGATGACGGAAAGCGCGCGTTAGCGTGCGGTCCGTTCGTCGGAAGAAATTGGACTTGGGGGAATTCGAGGGGGTTGGCATCGCGGGCCCTGAGATCTAATTGCCCTCCCGCTTCGTTTTTTATCGAGTAGGACGGCCTTCGGGGCTTAAAAACAGCGTTTCGCTCGAGACATCATCGGACAACGCTTCTTGGGCGCTTCTTGGGCCGTCTTAGGCGCCTAAGACAGCCCAAGAAGCGCCCAAGACGGCGCCCAAGACGGCCCAAGACGGCCCAAGAAGCGCCCAAGACGGCCCAAGAGCGTTCCAAGAGAGCCCAAGACCGCCCAGGGCGGCCCCAAGACGTCCCAAGAGGCCTCCACGACGCCCACGGAAGCGCCTACGAGCCCAAGAAGCGCCCAAGACGGCCCAAGAGCGCTCCAAGAGAGCCCAAGACCACCCAAGGCGGCCCCAAGACGTCCCAAGAGGCCTCCACGACGCCCAAGGAAGCGCCCACGAGGCGTCCCAAGAGGGCCTCACGATGCCAAAATCATTGATTTTCTGATGGAAAACTTGCATGTTTAGCATATACGGCTTTTCGCCTTTCATGGCGTTGAAGACTGTCCAAGAGGCCCCCAAGACCGCCCCAAGACGGCCCAAGATGTTCCCAAGGGGCCCCCAAAATAGCCCAAGAGGGCGCCAAGACGGGCCAAGAGGCGCCCAAGACTGCCCAAGAGGCCCCCAAGAGCGCCCCAAGAAGGCCCACGAGGCCCCCAAGAGGGCCCCAAAACGACCCAAGAGGGCGCCTAGGCGGCCCAAGAGGCGCCAAGACGGCCCAAGACGGCCCCAAGAAGGCCCCAAGAGGCCCCCAAGAGAGCCCAGAGACGGCCAACGGCAGCCTAGTCCCTTCACCCCCGCCACCCAGAAGCTCCCAGGAGGCCCCAAGAGGCCCCCGAGAAGCCCCAAAAGGCCCCCAAGAGGCACCCAAGAGGCTCCCCAAGAGCCCCCCAAGAGGTCCATAATACTCCCAAAGGCTAAGACCGAAGCTCCCAACAGAGAGCTGCGGCGTAATAAGTTCTTGCAGCGAGGGCACAGGGACGGGCGGCAACGCGTGGACAACGAGCGGTCCACGCAAGGACAACGCGGGGTTCTGGAACGGTGGCAGCCCAAACGCGGAAAACGCAACGCGACCCGACCGCCCCCTCCAAAACAAGAAACGCGCTCAAAGAAAGCTCCGCGACTCTGCGAGGCTGAGACAGGACAAGCGCGAGGGGAAGGGAGTCAATAAGAGGTGTAAGAGCGGACGAGCCAGCGATCTCGTGCGCTCTGAAAGTAAGTGCGTTGCCCGTCCCCGTGCCAAGCAGGTCGAATTGACCTCCCGCATCGTTTTTTATCGAGTAGGACGGCCTTCGGGGCTTAAACACAGAGTTTCGCTCGAGGCATCATCGGACAACGCTTCTTGGGCGCTTCTTGGGCCGTCTCAGGCGCTTAAGACAGCCCAAGAAGCGGCCAAGACGGCGCCCAAGGCGGCCCAAGACGGCCCAAGAAGCGCCCACGACTGCCCAAGAGCGTTCCAAGAGAGCCCAAGACCGCCCAAGACGGCCCCATGACGTCCCAAGAGGCCTCCACGACGCCCCAGGAGGCGCCCACGAGGCGTCCCAAGAGGGCCCCAAGAGGCCAGAATCACTGATTTTCTTTAGGAACACGTGCATTTGTAGCATATACGGCGTTTCGCCTTGCATGGCGTTGAAGACGGTCCAAGAGGCCCCCAAGGCCGCCCCAAGACGGCCCAAGATGTTCCCAAGAGGCCCCCAAAATAGCCCAAGAGGGCGCCAAGACGGGCCAAGAGGCGTCCAAGACTGTCCAAGAGGCCCCCAATAACGCCCCAAGAAGGCCCAAGAGGCCCCCAAGAAGACCCCAAAGACGGCCCAAGAGGGCGCCAAGACGGCCCAAGAGGCGCCAAGACGGCCCAAGACGGCCCCAGGACGGCCCCAAGAAGGCCCCAAGAGGCCCCCAAGAGAGCCCAAAGACGGCCAAAGGCAGCCTAGTCCCTTCACCCCCGCAGCCCAGAAGCTCCCAGGAGGCCCCAAGAGGCCCCCGAGAAGCCCCAAAAGGCCCCCAAGAGGCACCCAAGAGGCTCCCCAAGAGCCCCCCGAGAGGCCCAACATACTCTTAGCACCGCGGCTCCAAAAAGAGAGAGCGGTGACGTAATCGAGCTGATAAGACCAAAGCTCCCAACCGAGAGCTGCGACGTAATAAGTTCTTGACGCCAGGGCACAGGGACGGGCGGCAACGCGTGGACAACGAGCGGTCCACGCAAGGAAAACGCGGGGTTCTGGAAAGCTGGCAGCCCAAACGCGGAAAACGCAACGCGACCCGACCGCCCCCTCCAAAACAAGAAACGCGTTCAAAGAAAGCTCCGCGACTCTGCGAGGCTGAGATAGGACAAGAGCGAGGGGAAGGGAGTCAATAAGAGGTGTAAGAGCGGACGAGCCAGCGATCTCGTGCGCTCTGAAAGTAAGTACGCTTTCCGTCCCCGTGCCAAGCAGGTCTACTGGCCTTCCGCCAATCCCACCACCGTTTCAGGGTTGTGTAGGTCAGAGGCCTCTCGGGGCCCTCTTGGCCCGTCTTGGGGCGATCGTGGTTCCGAACAAATCATGCGGCAAGCGCCGAGGAACTGCGGGAAGCACGCCGAGAACACCGGAAAAGCTTAGATGTTTGGGGTTCGGGCTGTCTCATGTTCAATCCTGAGGACGAGTTGCTGAGGACTACAAGCGTCCTGAGGGCACTCCAACTTGTGCCTCGCGTCACGGTGGCGGATCTTGCATTCGAGAATAGTGTCGAGCCAGGTTATGTTACTGAGAAGGTGTACGACGGATACAAGGCTGGGTGCGTTGGGGTGTATTCGGGGGCTCCAGATATAGGAAGATTTGTACCTCCTGGCTCCATCATCAAGATCAGCAAGAAAACGGTGGCTGATGCCGCTGTGAAGATCAAAGAGGCTTTGGAGAGCGAAGACGCCTGGAACCGACTGAACTGGTGGAGGCAGACCCCCGTGTCCGAGTGGCAAGGCGGCAGTTTTGTGAGGTCCTGGGGAGCGCTTGGCGAGACGCCTCCGGCTGGGTTCCATGCAGACCTCGGCTGCCGCATCTGCCGGGCGGCGTACGCCCACAGGTACCCCGACGAGGCCAGGTTCGACCCGAAGACCCAGACCCTGGAAAGGCTGGCCCCGGGGGCGTGAGCGCGAGCGGCACGGCGCGGCTCCCGTCAAGGCACAGCATGCCACTGCCGGTTTCTCCCCGATCGGTTTCGAGGGCTACGGAGGAGGAAGGGGATCAGCAGGAGGAGGAGGAGGAGGAGGAGGAGGATCCGCGCTGGGCCCCCCCTGGCGGCGCCTTCGTCGCCGCCCGTGGCGCGCTCCGCACGCCAGGGAGGGGGGCCCAGCGCAGATCCAAGACACCCGCGCGGAGTGCCAAAAGTTTGTGTTCCTTGCGTTCTTTCTCTCCCTAGAGGAGGAGGGAGATTCGGCGGCGAGCCCAGGGAGAGAGGGCGAGGGGGCAGGCCCTCTAGCGGGGGCGCCCTCGGAGAGGCTGGCCGCGGCTCTGGAGGAGGCCCTCGCGGCTTCTCGGAGGCCGCGAGGCAGCTTCTGAGAAGCCCGGCCGCCTTCCGAGCAGGCCTGACCTCCGGCGACGCGTTGGCGCGCTCCGGGCGCCAGGGATCGGGGTCCAGCGCCGCTCGAAGATTTCCGCGCGGTGCTGCGAAACTGTATCGTTAAAGAGATGTGTTGCTTTGTTTTTTTGTGGACGACGATCAATGAACAGGAAGCACGTTGCCAGATACTTTCCAGTCTAAACAATGTTTGACACATGTCGTATTTCATGGAACACATGTGTAAACATGTTTAGAACATGTATCAAACATGTTGAACAAACGTTTAATTCAATGATCGGATTGTTAGGGTGTCCACTGTCATGGCATCCACAACTCTATTTCTGCTCGCGGCCTCCAGGAGGACCTTGAGGTGGGCTGGCAGGATCACCTTCGAGAGGACGCACGGGGGGACTCCTCGGCAAGCCTCTGGGACGGCATCGAGCGTATTCTGGAAGGCCTCTCCGACTCTTCTCTCGATGGTCCTCGGGAGTGGCTCTCGGGAGGGGAGGTCTAACGAGGGCCTCTGGGGGCCCGCCTGGGGTGGGGGAGGGCGCCCTTCTCGTGCCTCGGAACGCGCGCGGAGACATGTACTGTTACGTGTAGCTTGCCGAGACGTCTGGGGCAGCAGCCCGGGTATCTGCCAGGCCCAGGCACACTCAGGGGTTGGGCGGTAGGGGGCGCACCGAAGTGCGGCGGGGAGGGTTCTCTGAAGGGCTTAGGCGACCCGTCTTCCTCCTCCTCTTCCTCCTCCTCCTCCTTCTCCCCCTCCTCCTCTTTCTCCTCCTCCTCCGTCTCCTCCATCTCCTCCTCCTCATATCATACTCCACCGCCTCCTCCTCCTCCTCCCTCCTCCTTCTCCACCTCCTTCTCCTTCACCTCCACCTCCTCCTCCTACTCCTCCTCCTCCTGGGGTCGCCTACGGCCTGGGGGGAAACGGTGCACCCGACCCCCCGACGGGGAACGCAGCATCGGTTTTCGGCTTGCGTCGCGCGTGGGCGGGCGAGGCGCTGCAAGCTGCCCTTTCGAGGGCCACGTCGGTCAGACTGGCTCGCGCCCCCGTCCCCGTCGCGCATCCGCTCGTCGGGCTCCCCATGTGCGCAATTCGCTTCGCTCTGGCCCAGCGCGCGTCCGCGGCTGCTCCCCCGCCATTGCCCCATTGTTGTCCTCTGGCCGTCCTGTGGTTGTCACGAGCATGTCACGAAATTCGACAGACAATGATCTAGTCGTAAGTCGGGCCTGTCCCTCGACAGCGGGAATATTCAAAACTAGTCAAAAAATAGTCTAGGGACTATTTTTTCAATATTTTTGACCGGTTGGGAATCTGTTTTGAGTATTTGTTTTATTCCTCGTCGAAAATCTCCCTGTAGGGGGAGCCTCCTGACTTCAATCTAGTTTTTCTTCTTCCTCCTCCCACCAAGGCCATCCCCCCGTTGCGCTCGCCCGCCCCATCCGCCACCGCCGCGCGTTGGCCCGCTGCGCTGCCACCCGCTCTCCACTTGCGCTGGCCCGCAGGCCCGTCGGGGGGTGGCTGGCGCTCGCAGCAGGGGTCGGTCCCGAGGGGTCCCCCCCCCGCAAAGCGCAGGCCAGACAGCGAGACCCTCGCCCTCCCTCCCTCGAACCGCAGGCGCTCGGAACAGAGGGAGCCACAGGGCGCTCCTGCCCCTCCCCCCCCCCTCCCCCTCCGCTCCCCCTGCCCCACCTCCTCCTCCTCCTCCTCCTCCGACTCCTCCTCCTCCTCCTCCTCCTCCTCCTCTCTTCCTCTTCCGTTTCGAGGTGTCTGGACTTTCCAAGTTTTTGTTGGTCGTTTGTTGGCCTACGGGACCCCATGCAGGCCGCCAGAGACAAACGGGCACACCTGGAGATCTCCAGAAACTTGCAAGGACCTCTGGAGACCTCTGGCATCATCCTGCGTTTCTCGTTTCTCTCCACCTCTCCCCTCTCCCGATCACCATGCTATTTTCTGGATGTCAGCCTTGTTCGTGCTCCTCCTCCTCCTCCTCCTCCAATCGCGATCCCGCTCCTCCCCCGTAGCCCTGGCTCAGGCCGCTGCCGCGCAAGCAGCGCCGCACGCAGACATGCGTGCTGCGCCGTCTGCAGCCGGGCTCGCACACGTCCTTGCCGTAACCGCACAATGAGGGTGTTGTGCGTGCTTCTGTGTGCTTCTCCTCTTCGGGCTCTCCACCGGGTCGACGAGTCTCTGCAGGGGGGCAGCCCGCCTGAGGAGCGGGCTTCCCCGAATCCTGATCCGTACGACCACCTCAGCGCTGAAGGTGCTGCCCGGGCTGTGCACCTCGCCCGGGAGCACAAGGGGGTCCGCGAGGAGCGAGACCAGTACCCTTGGCCCTCGAAAGTAAGGCTACAGCAGGACCACAACAACCCCACCTCTTGGCTGCCCTTGGCCCCCTGCGATTACGGCAGTAGTAAGCTGGTGGTCTGGTGGCGACAGGGCGTCTTTCAAGACAGAAAGCACAGGGACGTGGGTTACCCAGACTGTGACGTGATTCCTATCGCTTCGCGTTGTGCGCGTCTGGGGCGTGTAGAGTATGAGAGTTCGCAGTCTCTTGATAGCTTTGACGGGGCCTCTTGGGAGCATATTTGTGGAGTTTGAGGTCTCTTTGGGGCATGTTGGGACTGTTTGACGGCTTCCTGGGAGCATATTGAGTCCCTTTCGGTTAGGCCGTCTGGCGTTCTCGAAGGCCTCTTCGGGGGCATCTCTGGTCCGTCGTGGGCACTCGGGAGGCTCTCAACGGCCGTCCGGTTCGTCTCTCGCGCCGTTTGGGCGCTGTCTTGGGGGCCTTTGGGACTGTTTGGGGCCCTCTTGGGCCCTCCTGGGGCCCTCTTGGTTTTTCCCAGCCCTCCTGCGTTCGGTATTCGTATTGAATACAGAGCGCTGCGGTCGCACGCCTTCCTTCCTTCCTTCCCGTCTCCTTCCTCCTCTCCTCTTGCCTCCTGCCTCTTACTCACCACCCACCAAACCACCCCAACCCAACCCGAAGGCCCAAATTTATCCTCGATTTCCAGTGGGGGGGGGTCGGGGAACGTTGAAAAAACACATGGTATCCGTACCCCCCCCCAACCCGAAATTCGGGTCAAATTTGGGTCTTCGGGTTGGGTTGGGGTGGTCTGGTAGGTAGTCACTTACCTTTCGCAGATCGCTGCCATATGCGGGCCCCCCCTCCCTGTTCCCACTCCTCCTGCGTTGGGCACTCGGTTTGAATAGAGCACTGCGCGCCCGTCTCCTTCCCGCCTCCCTCCTCCGCTCATCTTCCCTACCTGCCTCGTACCTCGCTCCTTCCTGCGTGCCAGCGTGCCTCCTACCTGGCGATGAAACTTACACCTCGCCATCCCTGGGGGGCTGCGATCTGCGACACTGTTGCCACATTCGAGGGCTGCTTGGTGTCCAGCGGAGTGGGGCACCACCCAGACTCAGATTCGACCTCGCCATCCCTGTGGGGCTGCGATCTGCAAACTTGCCGCCACTTTCGAGGGCTCCTGGGGGGTCCAGCGGAGTGAGGTCCCACCCGGATTCAGATTAGACCTCGCCATCCCTGGGGGGGGGCTGCGATCGCCGAAACTGTCGTTATTTTCGATGGTTGCAGGGGGTCTAGCGGATTCAGGCACCACTCATATTCGAATTAGACCTCGCCACCTTGAGGGGGCTGCGATCTGCGAACTTGCCGTCACTTTTGAGGGCTGCTGGGGGGTCCAGCGGAGTGAGGCACCACCCAGATTCTGATTAGACCTCGCCATCCCAGGGGGCGGCTGCGATCTGCGAAACCGTCGCCACATTGGAGGGTTGCTGGGGGGTTTCGCGGACTGCGACATTGTCGCCATTTTACAAGGCTGCTGGGGGGTCCAGTGGAGTGGGGTACCACGCAGATTGATATTAGATTCAGGCCTCGCCATCCCTGTGGGGCTGCGATCTGCGAACTTGCCGCCACTTTCGAGGGATCCTGGGGTGTCCAGCGGAGTGTGGCACCACCCAGATTAAAATTCGACCTCGCCATCCTTGGGGAGCTGCGATCTGCGAAACTGTCGCCACTTCCAAGGGGGTCCAGCGGAGTGAGGCACCGCCCATATTCAGATTAGACCTCGCCATCCTTGGGGGCTGCGATCTGCGAAGCTGTCGCCACTTGAGAAGTCTGCTGGGGGGTTGCGGAACGACGTCTTGCGCGGGTCACCAGGAA